TGTGTGGGGGTGGAATGGTGTGCTGGATTTATCTGTGAAAAGTTCTCCAGGGTTCTTGAAGGGACACTTCCTATGGCTAGCAGTCCTTTCTCTCTTTAAATCTATTGTTATTTATGAGAATTACAAATGTCTAGGGTTGCCATATTTCAAAAAGTAAACCAGGACACCCAAATTGTTGAGCTTTTCTTAGGAAAGCTTTTTTTTTTTACAAAAACCAAAAAAAACCCCACGATTTTTCAATTTCAGAAATTCCCCCCAGACATCAATTCCGCCTTTGAAATCCTGGTAATGTCTGAGAAAATCCAGACATATGGAAGCCCTACAAATGTCCCATCAAGCACATTTGTGCTCATCATTGTGTCAAGATGGAAGAACTAATAACGAGGCCTATGGTAACACCTCAGCCTTTGTCCATTTCTTAGCCTTGTGGTGGAGTAGACTTTGCCTGAAGAAAGTTCCAGATATAATCACTTACACCACCAATTCAAATAATCTCAGGCAGCAAGGATATAAAGACCTCAGTAAGATATTGAAAAGCCATTGCCAGAAATAATAGGATGATTATTAGCTGTGCACATAATCATTATATAGGAAAGTTCTTTAATTTCAGAACATTTCACAATCATACTGTATCTTTGGAAGGAAAGTCCTTTCAATGATACTCAATAAACAAAATTCAGTTTGCTCTGAAGTTGTTCCTTCTTTGTTGTACTTCTTTTTACCTCAGAAAAAAAAATTTAGTCCTGACATTAAGGCAAATTTCCAAATGTTGCCTATCCATTCATTAATAGTGAGTGTTGCTTGGGAACTTCGTCTCTTTGCAAGCAATACCCTTACCACATCTGCCATACACAGGAAAATAATTTGACATCTTCTGTCTTTACTAGCTAGGCTTCTAAGTTTTACAACTCTTCCCCACATTCAAAGAAAGGGCTTCTTCAAAGCAAAAGGCTTGAAAAATTACTTCCCTCAATGATGCTGTTGCCTCAAACAAACCAGTCTATTCCAATGGCCAATCATTCTTTGAGCTGGCAGTCCTATGATTTCTGACTTTTCCCTTTGCAACCGATAAAATTAGCAGGTCAAAAAGGAGAAATATTTTGAGGGCAGGTTGCTCTGATGGAAGGGACCCTTGCTTGTGGTCTCATATATCTTCTTGTTGTGCAGGTACTAGTAAAAGAAAACCCCCACCAAATCTCCATCTCTTGGAATGGTGCCCTCTGGCTGCTACCTGTCTGCCTTACCTCAAGGCCCTCACTCTGCCTTCTTCTTTTCACTTCAATGCCTCTGTGACCTCAGCAGCCAGTGCACTGATCTCCATATTTCATCTCTCTTTCCCCTTTTCCATAGCTGTGCTTGTTGCAAGGCATGCAAAATGGTCTTGAGTTGATGGCACGAGGGCTGTTAATGTCGCAGTGGCATTGCCCCACAGAAGCAAAACTACTCATTTCCTGCATGCAGTTCCTGAACAGGAATGGCCATTGAGTGGGGGCCTCTCCCAGCTGAAAGACTATGGTTCCTCAAATGCCGTCTGCCTCTCAAACTTCTAGATGGTGCTTCTCTGGTCTATGAGGGGATAGATGGATTCAACTGCATACATACAATCATCTCAAGTACAACCATCATTAAAGAGAGTCTGTGCATCTTTTGACCCCCAACAGTTGGGATGCCTTTGACATCCTTCAGTTGACAACTGAATCCCAGCTGCTTTAGAAACTATTAGCTCTAAATCTATACAAGCATGTGGGATTGAGCATTGGGTATAATGTTATAAGAGGCAGTATAACTAGCAGAGACAAAAGGCTCTTTGAAAACGTTTAGCGCGGCTGTCAAATATATGAGAAATAAAATATGCTTCTTCCCCAGCAGTTTTCAGTGAGTTGGGATGCCTTTGAACTGCACAGTTTCCTTTTGGAATAGAAGCTATTTAAAATTGAGAAATGCCTGGGTGGAAAAAAAAAGAAAGAGTGTGTTCTTGTGTGATAGGATAAAGAACTTTCTAAAGAATGATGCTCATTGCTAGTTGAAGTCACTTAGTTTCAGAAGTGACTTCCCAGTGGCGTAGCAATGTAAATATTGTATCATGGGAAATCCATGCTCCTCCAGTAATGTAACTTTATGCCCCACGACAGTATCCTCAGGAGGCAGCTCTGATTCTTGTGCTGTAATCCATAAAGCTTCAATGTTTAATGTACACTATCAAAACTTCTTCTATGTTTCAGTCGGATGTGAAGCAGCCTATGTGAATTCCTTGAAGACCAGAAGCTGGGAAGTAACTTGGTCTGAACTGAATCTTTACAATTTAGGCTTGCGTTTGAGGAGCTTCAAACATTCTGTTAAATAAAACAAGTATGCTAGAAGAGGCACTAATCTTTATTTCACTTCTATCTAATCTCGTTCTTTAATTAGAAACTCAGACAGACTTCCAATGGTCTCCCATCCAGGCACCAATCAGGAATATGACTACTTAGGGATATGTTCCCAAACCACTCAGCAGGGTCAGAACTTATCAAATAAAATGTGTATTGTTCCAGTTTTCCCTATGTTCCAATGTGGACATAGGGTTGGAGCAGGGAAGATTTAGAATCAAATTCCAGGTTAGCTACGTAGTCAGCTGCAGCTACTCTATGAATTATTCCCATGATTCTCTGAGATAGTTTGGATGTCGGAACACTAAGGGCAGGGCCAATTCCACCTGGAGGAGGATGAACCAAGTCATTGGCTCACTCATGTCATTCTTGTATGCAAATGGTCCTAAAGCGGAATGGGAAGAAGCAGTGGGGAAGTGGCTTCCATGTTGGTGCCAGATTAGTGCATAGTAGCCTTCCATGAGACACCTCTGAAAAGGTATACTCTTATTTTGTTTACAATCAGTAATCTGTGATGGACAACATCACAGGATTGTTGCAAGGAGGACTAAAATGAGGATTATAAATTACCAGGCACATTTCAGATCAGCTAAATAAGCCCAGCATCTCTTTGCAGTGTTCCTCTGAAACAAAAATGTTGGCTTTTAGTATGTGGTAAGGGATGCGGGTGGTGCTGTGGCTTAAACCACAGAGCCTAGGACTTGCCGATCAGAAGGTCAGCAGTTTGAATCCCCGCGACGGGGTGAGCTCCCGTTGCTCGGTCCCTGCTCCTGCCAACCTAGCAGTTCGAAAGCACGTCAAAGTCAAGTAGATAAATAGGTACCGTTCCGGCAGGAAGGTAAACGGCGTTTCCGTGCACTGCTCTGGTTCACCAGAAGCGGCTTAGTCATGCTGGCCACATGACCCGGAAGCTGTATGCCGGCTCCCTCGGCCAATAAAGCGAGATGAGTGCCGCAACCCCAGAGTCGGTCATGACTGGACCTAATGCTCAGGGGTCCCTTTACCTTTACCAGACAGATTCTATGGCCGTTTAGACAAAGATTCTGTATTTCTACAGCAGCATTATGCTAGTTTGAATCCTAGATGTGGCCCCTATATGAACCACTGATGCATCCCTGTTTGTTTGTTTGTTTGTTTGTTTGCTTGCTTGCTTGCTTGCTTGCTTGCTTGCTTGTTTCCCACCTTTCCCCCGATGTGCTCAGAACCCATGTGCTCCTCATTTTTCACATCTCTTAAATGGAAACCTAGAACTTAACTTAGGTATTACTTTTCATCTTCCACTCAAATAAGGCATGTCATGCAGCTTACAATAAATAACATAAACAATGAATAACAACAGAGCAAGGATGGCACAGATTGTAGGTAAGCATCCATTTGACTATAAGGTAAAAATAAGGACAATAACAGCCCCATCGTAGTTGAAGGTACTTGTTCATCTTCTTTACATGAAATCTACTTTTATTTTCCGTCTCTTTGGCTCTGTTGTTTTAGTTTACTGCCCTATGATAAGAAGATGAGGAGAGCCATCCACAAATACTGACTGTTTATTAATTTGAAATGCATTCTGTGGACCATGTTTTATGGGAAGCTCATAAAGAGCTCACAGTTAATCATAAATTATATGCCCACTATGTGGTGGACCAGTACAGTGAGAAGAAAATAAATTGGAAGAGAAATTGTGATCATATTACCTTTGAAGTGAGAGACTTTTACTGGAATAATTTGAGAGGGTGGCAGAATTTGTATAAGTTATAGTCACAGTGATGTGATCAGACACCAGGCATCTCACATGGACGTTTTAGGCCTATTGCATGAAATACCTCTTTAGCCTTTGCATGTATAGAATAATAGGGTGTTTGGCTTGCTGAACCAACTATCCATCTGTATGCAGAGTTAAACAGACCCTGGAAAACAGGCAACATCAAAGCTACTGAAGGTGTACCTTTGACTGAGCATGGTTAATCAGTTGGGCACATGGTTCACGTCATGTTGCACTAATGGGGAAAGACTGAAGGAAGTGGTCAAGACAAGGCAAGACAAATTACAGAATGGTGTTTCTGTCAATAGAGGAACATCTTGACATCAATACACGGGGCCAGCCTATCCACTGGATAAATGAGGCAATTGTTGGAAGAGCAAGCTGCGGGTGGAAAGAGGATTACCTGGATTATCGTCTAATGGCAGGATGACGGTGGAGAATCAAGGCGTGCAGAATCTACGGCTACCCATAGAATGGTTGAACGAGAGTAATTGCTCCTAAAAGTTGGCTTCCCTAGACATACCTAATTTAGGATGACATGCAGCCAATAGTATATGGCCAGTGCACCCTCCTTAACATCAGTGCAGTGTGATGTAGTAATTAAAGTGTCTGACGAGGACCTGGTGACCAGGGTTCAAATCCACATTCGGTCAAGAAACTCATTGGGTGGCCTTGGGCCAGTCACAGTCTCTCAGCTTATCGTACCTCACAGGGTTGTTGTGGGGTTCAGTTAGGAAGGTGAGAACCACGTGTGCTACCTTGAGTGTCAGGTTGGGTGTCTCTGTCACACAAGACGCAACCTCAGACAGGTAATTATTCCAGATTTACTGGTCAATTACAGAGAGCTCCAGTCAGAGCTAAGTGAACTCATTCCTCGCTTGATGATCCAGTTGCCAAAACTGGGCTCTTCCTCTTCCAGCCCCAACAGGAAAGCCCCCACCTTCTCTTTCTCCCAGGCATACGCTTTTCTGCTAGCCGCATTAATCTATGAGTCCTCGGAGATTTTACCCCCCTCCCCGATTCGCTCCTCTCCTTCCGTTGTGTCATTATCAGAGCTAGCAAGTTACATTTCTGCACCCTGTGACTCCCTCTCATTCTCTCTGTGTACAGGGGTCAAATTACCGCTGCTCAATGCTTCTCTCCCCTCCCTTAGGAATTCTCTCTCTTCTTCATCTGTGTCTGCCGCTTCGCCACTTGTCAGGAAGGGAATGTCTCTGACAGTGAGCACCTAAGAGAAATGAGGGATATAAAAACAATAAATGAATAAATAATAAAATAAAGGAAAATAGCCCTACATAGGGTAATTGATATTATAGGACATATGCGGCAGCTGTCCTGTGTTGAATTCCACCTCCCTCTCCATAAGAGGCACAGAATAATGCCGGTTGTATTTATGAAGTCATTCCACACATGACTGGGAAGGCCGCAGGGTCCCAGATTAGCAAGTATAGAACCCACACACACCAATTTTGAGTATGCAGATACTGTACTGCGTTCAAGCATTTGAAGGGTTAACATAGAGATGGGCGCAAGTGTGCGCACATGGACCCCACCTCACAACATCCCCAGGCAGCATACAGGCTGCAATCTAGATCTCTGTGTGATTAGCATGAGGTGTGAAGGGTTTTAAAAAGTGTTTTCAATTGAATGCACTTAGAAACGGTCCCCCTGATTGGACACTGTAATAATTCAGGGTTCACTCTCAAGGGGAGGTTTCCATGTGCACCCAATCAAATGCTTTTTTATTTTTAAAAAACATGCTTCAGACTCCTTTGTGTTAAATATGCAAAGATCTAAAGAGGGGAAGTTGTGAGCATATCCTGTCCCCGGTTTAACCCTTCTATACATGCAAATACTTGAACACAGCTTCTATTCACAGGAGACTAAAGCATCAAGTCTGAGGGCAAAGACAGGAGCATGACACAAATACCCTTACATGTGAAGGGCATGAGATTTCTGAATATCTGAACTGCACTGGCTTCTTCCTCTGTTTTTAAGACAACTTCCGTCTGCTCCAAAAATTTGTGGATAATTAATGTATTGGATAGATGTGCTGAATTATCTATTCTGCCCAGCTCTGCTTAAAGGGAACAGCTTTTACCCATTTTAACTACTTTGACTCTGAAAGACAGATTAACCTTTAATTTCATTGTTATTGTACAGCCCTTTGGGATGCTTCCCAATGAAACTGCACTGTGAGGCACACCGTTGTGATTTTTAAGACCACCAAAGGGGGATGAAAAGGCCCAATTCCCATTAATTTTAATCACGCAGCAAAATCCCCTTTGGCTTTTTTCTTTAATAATCTCAGTCTGGAAGTTCAACAGTTCTTGTTTACTTCAGGACACGAAATCAAAAGGAAAAGAAAAGAAAATCTGCTAATATCCTGATGCACAACACACACAAACAAACACATACACACACATATATATTGTTAGACATGAAAATATTTCCTAGGCTGTACAGGACCTCTGGAGAGTGTTGAGTGTGTTATGGGGATTGGCAAAAAGACTAGAGAGGCTTTTCTTTCCATTTAGGAGAGAAAAACAGCATCTTTCTGGTTAAAGCACAGTATGTTCCTACAGATAAGAGAGACTGCTGTTAAAAGAGATTTCAGTGGTCCCATGGTATTACCCGTTAGAAAGAGAGTTTGCTTTAATCATAGTTCATCATCCTTTGATTTGGCTATAACTTTACGGGAGGGAAAGCAAATCTTCCAAGGATTCAGCTTCCAAGGATTCCTAGAAATGGGTGTCTGTGTGTGTGAATAGGTCAGTTAGGGTTGGTTTGTGGGGAATGTAGCCTTCCCTACTTCACTCTAAAGCTCACTGCTGCACTTTGGACCACAAACCTTTCTTATTTGGGTCAAATCCATAGCATGCAATTAAAGTGCCTTTAAATCACATGCTTTCCCCTCAAGGAATCCTGGGTGCCATAGTTTAGGAAGGGAGCTGATAATTGTAGCTCTGTGGGAGCTACAGTTTCCAGGATTCTTTGGGGGAAACCTTGACTTCTAAAGTGGTATAAATGTGCTTTTGATGTATTGTGGGGATGTATGGTGTGGTTGTTGTGAAGATAACACACCACTCTGATCACCTTAGATAAAGAGTAGGATACAAACATAGAAAGCTTAGTTAAAAGGGGTCCTTCAGTTTCCAGAACACTCAATTCAGTTTCCAAGGCAGTCAGTTACAATGGATGTCCGACAATAGATGTCACAAAGGAAACTATAAAATGGGCTAGCACACAGCAATGGTCCGTAGTGGATCTGCCGTTTCTAAGTCCTGCTTACACTTCAGTAAGAATAGCTTCATCAGTTATCCAATCAACCAGCTTACTTTAAAGATTTGCTAATTACAAGTACAGCTTTTTTTGGAGAGTGGGGAACAACTTCCAGCCCAAGTTGTTGGGCTACAGAGGTATGCACAAAAGAGGTGCTGGAACACACAAAAGAGGTGCTGGAACTCAGTTCTGGTGAGCTTCGGCTGGGTGGGGGAACCCCTGCATCAATACAACATAAGTGCATCCTTCAATTACACTGTTGTGCCCCATGTATGAGAGTTTCCTTCCCAATGCAAATAGCAGCCAGGGGGGAGGCACACACCCCAACTGCTGCAGAGGAAAAGTGTAAAACTCTTTCACCCATCCATTGAAAACCTGATCCTGATCACCTCCACTTCCCACAACTGCTTATTGCTCAAAACTGTCTTATGCAATATTAATTATTGTACAACAGTCTGACCCACACGGTCTTTTGAATCAGTTTCTTTGTAAGCTGACCATAACAGCTTACTCTTTTTAACCTTAAGAATGTTCAATAGAATTTTTAACCTCATAATGGATCTGGTTCATTTTATAAAATAATACCAACTTCCAAGACATTCAACATTGTTTGCTATCTACACAGACAATTATGGAGGGAACGGGTAGAAGGCAGGAAACATATCAACGTTTTGTGTGTCTCTCTGTGTGTTTATATGCCTGCCAAATAGGATCAAGATACTTCCACCCAAAGGGGTGGCAACTATCCTACCTCTCCTCTCCATCTTTGGCTCACAGCAATTGCCCAGGAAAATCCTTTCCTCCAGAAAGGAGAGGAGGAGTTTACATCATAGCCAACTGGAGTTGAAAGTGGGTTTGTCCTTCCAACTCTAGCAAGTGTTTTGTGATGCAAAGCCAGAGGCGGCATTACACTTGTCCCTCTGCCTATTTCTTTCTTTATTAAAATAAATAAAAGGAAAGGAAAATAGCAGCAAGCAAACTCTGAAAAGTTTGAATATTTCTGAACTTCTCTCATTCTAACTTTTGAATACAATCATCAGACACATGAGGAGGTGACTGCATTTTCCCTGAACAGGACTGGAGAAAATAGAGCAGCAGATTATCTTGCCGCTGTAGAGACCCTTGTCATCAGTACCACAGAAAGCCTGTCAGCAGGAGGATGCAAAATGCTAAATAATAAGCACATAACGCAGATGGAGTTTTATTTCTGAAAATCTAAAATGTAGATTAAAAGAATATCCCCCAATCACTTGTTTTGTTTCTTTTGTTTTGTTTTTAAAAAGCAGTTAACTTAAGATTTACATCCAAAGATTTCTATTGAAGGGAAATTCCTTGTAGGGCCCTGAAGTTTCACACAATACAGTCATCAGTGTGCATCTGAAATGACTAATTGAGCCCTGGAGAACAGTCCCTGCACACTCTCCCAGAATGCAAAGTTCATTAGTCAAGGACATGCACTTTTCGAAAAGCAAATCAATTGTCAACACTGAAATGTCTGAAGCTGGAGAGTGGGTAGCTCTGAGGAGACAAACAGGCAGCGGCATACAGATGGAAAAATATAGATTAGGGATAAATCCTGCCCCAAAGCATTCCTATCCAGCCACCAAATATCCCTTTATCTCAAGGAACCCCCCCCCCTCAGCCCTCCACCCCTCACACCATTAGGCCTTTCAGCTACTTTCTTCCCAAGCCGCAGTCATGGGCAAAGTGTGAAGAGCAAAAGAGGTTGGGTGGGACTTCTAACATGTCCCTTAACTGGTTGCTCCTGCATACAAACCATGAGGGCAGTAAGTTGTGCTTTGCCAAAACATCTATTGCATGGAGAGAAACAGGGGCTTAAAAGAGACCTCTGCCTGTTTCTTGGATTGTGTTCTAGCATGTTTGATATTGCTTGCTTTCCCCCCATTCAAACTATGCCTCTGCTTAACATTTAGTTACTGCCTGAGAGCCTAGGGTGGTATCCAAAGAAAGTGTTTCCACCAGAAGAAGGATGCTGAAATTTGGACATCAAAACCTGCTTGAAAGGTGGGGAAACACATTTGCCAGAAATTTCATATACCGTACTTTAATACCGGGGGTCCCAAACACTTTTTCTCCATAGGCCGCTGGAAAATTGTTCAGGGTTTTGATTTTTCTACCTCCTTTAGCAATTGTAATGCCTTGTGCTAGATGCTACATGGCAGAGGTTTTCAACCTTTTTAGGTTTACAGCTCCCTTGACCAACTACATTCTTTCTGTGGCATCCCTGTGGGGCTCAGGAGCCCAGTTATGTCACCCCTTGCCTGCAGAGATGGCAGCCTCTCACCCCTTTTCAAACACCTTCCCTTGAGTGTTCCCTCAGCCTCCTCTCTTTCTCCTCTCCTTGGGAGTCCTCTGGGCAGCTGTAGCTGCCACCCCGGTCTCTGTGCTGCCTGCCCCAAAGAGAGGTGCCTCCTCACACTGCTCCACAGGGGCCTGGGGAGCACCCCTGGCCAGCCCCAGAGGCACCATTCACCGGAGGAGCTTGTAGCCAGGGCTGCTGCAACAAACAGCTGTGCAAGCCTTTGGGAGGCAGAGATGCATCAGAGGAGGGAGGGAAGGAAAGAGGGACAGAGGCCAGTGTTGCCTGTGACACCCCTGACCATCATTCAAGGCACCCCAGGGTGCCACGGCACACTGGTTGAAAACCACAGCTGTATGGTTTTCGATGGTCTTCTTGTTGCTTAATTTATTGCTTATATGTTGCATTTCATTGTATTACAATTAAGAGTTCCATCAAATACAATACAGGGACTATTCAAAAACAAGTTTGTCCACCTACAATCTTACCAGTTGATTCGCCACATTAGCCAAATTCTTATATATTTGGATCACATTTTTGTCCTGCTTTTCAAACAAATATTGTCTCCCAGATTTTTTATATATTTTTTAATTTATTTTTTAAAGAAGAGCCATAGCTCCCACCCTCAAGCTTACAACCAAGCAACATCATGCAGATGTAGATGTGCGGCTTCAGTTTAAATATAGTTCCTGGAGACAAATGGTGCCATTGCAAAAACCAAATCAACTTCATTCCTATCTCAGAATACAGTACAGGTCTTCACGTGATGGATTTTTAAATTATTTAATGCAGTATTCTAGACCTTCCTTTTTCCTCTTCAAACATCTCCTACTTCAAATATATGAGCAGTTCCCTGTTTTATAGAATTTAACCATACTACACACACAGGAACACACACGCACACAGAGAGAGAGAGCTCTTCTTTTGAAGTCGAATCTTTTAAAGCAGGGCTTCTGCTCTCACCTTAGCATATACATAATCATTTCACTGCCTTTCCTGAGCTATTTGCAGTTCTACTGTACCATTATTAAGATAAGGAAGCCAGAACTGCACAGCTCCCTAGGACTGAGCACATGAATAATTGTATTAAAAGTGGAACAGGAACAAAATTCAGATAAAAAGTATGAATCAATCATGCCCAAATATTCAAATGAGGATCCACCCAAATGCTGGAATTCCTCTCTGCTTGGGAAAGCGGTGTCATGGGCACATGGAGGTTTTCCATGTGCTTCTGTATATGTAGCAGCTGGTGGAAAAATAGCCTCTGCCCTCAAATTCAAGGGGTGGGGAACTGGACTTTGTAAAGTCCGCAAAGTCTAACAATTTCAGTTAAACCTGGAATTGCATTTTTTTTTTTTAATGCATCTTATTTCTTTATTACATTTTTATCCCAGTTTCCCTGGCCTAGGAACACCTGGTGAGCTTTGTGGATGAAACAAGATTGTCTGTAGGCTGACAGAGAACAATATCCTTGAGGATCAAGATCTGGCAACTCATACATGCTTTGGCGAATTCTTTAGCTCAATTACTGCGAATTGATCTATGAAGAGCTATCCCTGAATATTTTTTTCGAAGCTACAACCAGTACAAAATGCAGCTTGCAAGGATTCTAATGGGGGTTAAATACACATGTGCTTATAAACCTCCACCGGCTCCCAGCTGACTTCCAGGCACAATTCAGAGTGCTGGTTTTGATCTTCAGTGCTCCACATGAGTTGACTCCTGGGCGCCTCAGAAACAGTACTAATTTCTGTGTGATCTCTCCACTTCCTAAAATATTTGCAAAAACTGCGCTGTAAAAACTCAAGCTGGGCACTGGGTGTGTCCGGGGCCTGAATTAAATCAGGCTGATATGATGAAATCTGGACTGCAGTCAATTTGGCTTGAGACAGGCCCGGGTTGCTGTGGGTTGGTTGACCAAGAGTGGTCCAGGGGGCATGGAAGCAGGAGGAATTACCGACGATAGAAGAATGGAGAGTGAAATTGACAGACTATGCAGAGTTGGACAAACTAACTGGAAAAATTAGATATCTCCGAGACCAAAAAATTATTGATGACTGGGGGAAATTTGTGGATTATCTGAAAAGTATATGTGATGTGCAAACAACGCTAGTGGGGTTTCAAGAAGCACTGTGAGTTATAAGATGTATTGTTTAAAAGAAATAGAAGTGGGAGGGAAGAAAATGGCAATACAAAAATAAGGAATGCGAAATAGAGAGATTAATATGGATGATTGTCAGAGCAGCCGAAGGAAGTCAAAAAAAGGATTAATTTGTTAAAAATTGGATATAATTGTATATTTGAGTTGAAAATTAATAAAAAATTATTATTAAAAAAAGAGAGTTGTCCAGGGGGCATGACAGGAAGAAGGAGAAACCACAAAAAAGGAAGGACTTGCCCATACCTTCCAAGTTCCTCAGGGAAAAAGGGACATCCTGTTTCTTTGTGCAAGATCTTGGCGGCCATTTTGGGTGCTGCAAACGTGCTTTTTCTGGGACAAGGGTAAGGCACAGGCCACGTGACTCACCTGGGAGCATGTCCCAGAAGATGCACATCCCAGTTTGGGGCTTGAAAAAGTAGGGTGGTATACCTACCTGGCAGCTGCATCTTTACAGAAGAAGATAACGGGAGAGTGTGGGTGCATATATTTCCTTCTTGACCTCTCCTTCTGTCAGATCTTTTCTTCTTTTTGCCCCCTGAAGCTGCTTCTAGAGGAGCAGCACTGCATAGGATTGGGCCCTCCCACTTGCCAGCAGGTAAACTGGAGGGTCCCATCCTGCATGGTGATGCTTGCTGCTCCTTCTTGAGCAGCTGGCTTCCCTTTGTGCATAAGCAGCACCTTACAGGACCAAACCAGGTAGGCGGGGAGGAGAAAGATACACAGAGAGGGAGGATTTAGGCTGAATCTGAACCCTGTTCAGCTCAGTCACTTTGCCTGCCAACCAACCATAGAAACACAGTTTAAAAAACTTATTTACCAGGCTTAGGTACAGAAGCAATAGTAACCCCATTGCTGAATGGGGTTTCTACCTGGTGTAACCAAGTTAATTTACACCAACCTGTTTTAATTCAGCTTCTTGTGCATAGGATTGCTCCCAAAGGTTGTAAACCTCTGCACATAAAACCCAGCGAGATTTACTTTTGTGTAGACATGTATAGGGCTGTATTTTTAATATACTGTAGTGTCTTTCCCGTTTTGTGAGGCAGAGAGGCTGAAGGCCTAACCAGGTGTTTATATGAAATATCAGTCACTGGATTTTCCAGTGCAATTTCTTTCCTTGTAAACATAACTGCAGGGACCACTGATTCAGATCAGATTCATGGTTCAGAAGAAAGAAGTAGACCTTGTTCCTCCTACTTCCACCCAACAGTCCTAAGCCAAAAAGGTGAGCCCCAACACAACTGCGTTTGGAAGAAAATTATATGGGGAGATTCAGTTATTGATTCCACATGTACAGTAATGGGTCACTTGGCCCTCGCAATCTGACACCAAGATACTGAAATCTGTGTGAAATGGGGGGGGGGGTTATATACGTGTGGAAAAAGAGAACTAATTCTACTAAGTCAAGGCTTAAGATTCTCACTTTTAAAAAGAAAACTCAGCAAATGCTGAGTTCTTCTCCCTCCTCTGGACTCTGATCCAAAAGGGATCTGGTCATCTTTTACCTTTTCCTGCTCTTCAACTCATTCATTGAAGGCGAGTTGATGGGATGGAAACCAGAAGGGTTCTTTAAAAAAAATTTAAAAAAAGCAATATCATAAGATGCCTTGAGTCCCTTTGGGAAGAAAGGCAGGATACCACCAGAGACCTCATGGTTGGAGGTGACTAGCAAACGCCCCTCTCTCCAGTTGGCTGGCTCGCTTGCCTCTTCAACTTCAGAGCAAGTGATGCAATATGTAGGTCAAATGCCACCATGAGTTAGTCACACCGATCCATTTTCTGTAAATTGTTTTGAAATCTGTGGCTGAAAAAGCACAACGTGAGGGCATGCTCTTTACTCTTGGCTATGTTTTTTTCCCCTCTCCTCAGGGAGGGATGGCTAAGGTGCAGAGAATGGGGAAAGTTACCACAACCTAGTTAGAAAGAAAAGATGGACAGTCATGTGGTTATATGGACTATGGAGGAGGAGAACTGTGATGGTAGTGGTGACTCTCACTAGAGCTTCTGTCAAGGACTGCAGAAAGGTGTCACTATGTATGTTCTCCAGCCTGCTTTCCTCCTTCCCCTTTATGGTAATGCCAGCACATTAGTGAGTCTGCACAGTGTCCCACAGAAAGGCAGCAAAGCAGGGAAGGGAAATAGAGAAATGCATTAAAAAAAACAGCTCCATTTGAATTGCTTCAATAAGCTGCTTGCTTCAGCCAAAGGTGCCTGTTGGTTGTATTTATATGCGGGTGGGGGGGAGGGTGGGAAACTTTTTTTTTTTTAATAAATATTTATTAAAGTTTTCACAATATTACATAATGAAAAAGAAAAAAGAAAAAATAAAAAATAAAAAACAGTTAAAAACAATTCCATCTTTTCATAGCTTATCTTTCATTTGCTTGTTTCCTGGACCTCCTCATACCTCCCTTTTTTGTATTCCAGTTCAATTTATTAATTCAGCAATACCTTTCCCTCCTTATTTTATCCTGATCTTTATCTTAATATATTATAGCATTAAATTTTTACCTGTTAAAAATCCAATTTTTTCATATTCTTTTATACCATTACAGCTAGAGACCACTTAACTTCAATCCAACATCATTCTAACATTCATTAATTTTGCGGGTGGGAACCGTTTTAAAAACACAATGCAAAATCCTGAAATGCTGCAAGGCTTGTATAATAACTCAGATTGGTGGTTCTTGTAATTAATTTTCTCATTAGTCTTTTATTTGAAATTCAGTGTTGTCCCAAATAAGTTAAATCCCAATGAAGTAGAAGAAAAAGCATCTATAATTCTGTAAGGGTTTGCTCAGAAGACTAGGGCATAACCTTGGGCTTCAGGTTTCCCCAGATGTTTAGGGAAGCTTTTAATGTTTGATGTATCACAGTATTTTAATATTCTTTTGGAAGCCGCCCAGAGTGGCTGGAGAAACCCAGCCAGATGGGCGGGGTATAAATAATAAATTATTATTATTATTATTATTATTATTATTATTATTATTATCAGCCTTTTTTAAAAAAACAAAAACCACACAAGGATAGAATGTCATTTTATATATATATATAGTGGGCTGCAGCAGAAAAATAGGAGGGGTGGAATGGGTTAAACATCTCCTGCCTCACCCCTGAAAACTGACCCTTCCTGAAGTTGCTGTTCCATAACAGAATCAGAAAAAAATTCCCCACACACATTTGCATGTAGCATGTATCTGTAGTTGGTCCCTGAAATAAGGTTGTCCTTTTTTATTTAACCTAATGTGCTAAGAATTCTTCCCATGATTGAGGTTCTTGACTGCGGAGATGATTCTGTGGTCTCCTAAATACTCATGGAATCTCCTTCAGATTTTACCACCTCAACATGGGAAGGTCTGAAGTGGAATCAGCCTGTGCGGGGATATTTGGGCCAAGACTTTTGTATGCATCCTAATCCCTGTCTTTTTTTGCCTTGAATGCCTAACAAGGGCTCAAGTCTACTAACCTTTATGTCAAATGGGCACTCTTATGAATACTAGATCTGGGAAGGAGAAGTGAAAGCCTTGGAGACAAGTCAAATCATATAATGTCCAATGTTTAAAATAATACACACATTATTTGCCCTGTGTTTCAGATAAGCACAAGCTAATAATGACATGCAAACCCAAAGTACAGGGGAAAGGGGGCAGAATCTGGAGATGGGTGGAAGAAAGACCAAGAATTTCAGGGACTTTGGAAGACCTTCACTTAGAGTCAAACTGGTGGCAAAGTGCCAGTGATCCATATAAGATGCAAAGACAATAAAACCCTACAGCTTCCCAGTGCTGGCTGAGTTCATTTAGTTTTCAGAGAGACAAATTCTGTAATATTATGCAGGATCATGCAAAACCAATCTGTATGTTCTCTTACTGGGGAGCATCACTGTGTATAGCAAACAGTGGTGGCACATATCATTTCACAGCTTGCAGTGAAACACAAAGTGGTACCCTGCTGCTCCTACCACCACGATACCTGCTGCTGCCACCACTGCCATCACCTGCTCTGCCACTGCTACACACCCTGCCAGGCAGTGCCAATTTCAAGCAAGATCACATACGTTTTGGGTAAGATCTCACCCCAAATAGATGCAATTTTGCCCAAAATCTCTGGTGGAAGTGCTATCTGTGGGGCTTCTGCCACCTGAGGTAGCGGCCTCACCCCACATATTAGTAGTAGTAGTATACCGCCCTCCACCCATAAATTTCAAGGCAGTTCACAACTTAATGGCTGGGCGGGCTCCGATCACAAAAGAGACAGCTCCAAACAGCAGGAAAATAGATATTAAATGTAAGTGAGAACAAAATAGGTCAGTTGCATTGGATGAATAGATCATTTGGCTTATTCTCTGCATATCGTGCAGAACAAAACTAGCCCTCAAATGGCAGGAAAGCCAAAGGTGTGTCAGTCTTTCTCTCTGAAAGTGATCAAGGCTACAAAATCAGAAATCAGTTTCTACAGGGCTGTGCCTTGGACTCGTGACAATTAAAATTCCACACCAAGAAAAGCTGGATCCTGTGACCTTTATCAATTATGCACATAGAGCAAATTTACATAACATTTGGCACAGGACTGCCATTTTCCTGGCTTTGTTCATCGTGGAGAAGGGTGAAGAGTTCTGCACCAAAGCTACACAACTCCTTTTATTATTGGAAGCCTTATTCATCCACCGCCCTGGATTTGAGATTTCGACAGACATTGCTCATACACACTCCTTGTACTGTTAGAATGATCTGTAAGATAGTTGGGAAGCTGAATTCCACACAACACATTTAATGCTCCCCCCACAAACTCACAGCCTTGTGGAATGCAATGAGCAAAGTTAAATCTCTGCTTACATGGGAGCAGGGATGTATTTCCATACATATACACAAACTGTTATTTTGCCTTCTCCTGTAACATGTGGCTTGGCTGGCTTCTTTGAATCATCTGGAGCTCTTGCTCCTCAGGCTTCTTTGCAGATGGTATCTCTGCTTGTAGCATAACCTGACCTCGATTGCACTGTTGATCTGTGGGTAGCAGATGGATGGATCATCCCGCTTCACAGCTAGGAGATAGGTTACATTCATCTCTTCCAGTATCACAGGAATTAGTTATCTGAAGCTTGTTGGTTGGTTTCTTTAGTTGGGGAAGGGTCGCAATATCTAATAAAAATGCAATAGAACTAAAGCAGTGAATATTTTAAAATGTTACACCGAGTTTCCACTTTTTTTAATTTAAAGAAGTCAGTTGCTATACATGGAAAATACATCCTGCACTGGGTGCAGAGTGATGACAGCCTTGAATTTTTATGTATATAGGAAGATACAGGATTTGAGAAAGGACAGTATGGCTATTATCCTGTAACTTTTAGCACTCACAGAATCATAGAGTTGGAAGGGACCTTGAGGATCATCTACAGGGGGATGCAGCTGTCCCATATGGGGATCAAATCTGCAACCTTGGCATTATCAGCACCATGCTCTAGCCAACTGGGAATAAGTGCTGTTGAAGCTATTATTTTTATTATTTGAATTTATATATTGCCCTATACCCACAGGTCTCATGGTGGTTCACAGGATAAAAGCTAAATGTGACTTAGGGCACCATCTGAACTTACATCCTGCACCAGCCAAACTGCAGAGCAACAGAACCACATCCACAGTCCTGCTTCTCACAAGAGCTGTGGAGGAAGAGGGAGACAGTGATACAGTCTAGCACAGCAATCAGATCTGGATTGGGCTGGATGCAATCACACAACAGCAATTTCCCCCACTCAGGATCTAGAGGAACCCACCCCCCTCCCTGCCCTCAGAACACCCCATTTCTAGGCTTTCCTCTGGATCCCATTGGCAGGGAACCCACTAGTGTGCCTCCTGCTCACTCTTTCAGTGGCCGATAGGAATCCCTCTTAGTCAAGAGAGCCTAGGAGAGAGACACCCCTCCTCTTATTCTAGCCAGATATAAAGGGGGGGGGTATTTCTCCGCTACTTCTGAGTAGACATGCATAGGATTGTACTATAAAGTTTACTGTTTAGTACACAGCTGTGACCAGGGAATGCTATGACCAAAAAGTCAGAACTGCTCAGACATATCTAAAGAACAGAAAAGATGAATTCTTTTTGAAACTTCTGGTGCTAATCTCTTGCTCCTGAGTGCCTCAAATTGTCTCCTTCTCTCTCACTCCCCCCATCTCCTCTGGTTCATCAATAAAGAGCATATAACAGTGCCACAAATTTGCTCAAATTTCCCTGTTCTAATATGGCTAACTGCAAATTAGCTATCAAGGAGGGCACCTAAAAGATAGGTTCTGAAGAATTAGATTAGCTTTCTGCTGTTTCAGAATATCCTTTTCAGAAATGTTGAGGTGCCCTATTGTCACCTCAACAAAAGGCCATATTAATCAGTATCTATGAATAGGAAACATTTCATGCTGAAATTATAGTAACAAAATATGCCAACAATGAAGAAGTAATATAAGCCACTGAATGAAATAAAAGTCTGAGTCTTGCAACTGGTTGGCAAGATACAGTATTATGTGTGGAGCTTATATGTGTGGGTGACCCTGGTTCATACTGTTTCCTTTTGGTGAAACCAACACATCTTTCAAAACCAGCACTGCCTGAGAGCTCACCTCTTCAACTTGTCTACTTGCAAATAAATTGTTACTACAGAAACATTACAAGTCAGCAATACTCCAGTTACCAAATAACAATAAAAATCTGATTGAGAAAAAGGCTGAACTGAAGCTTCCTACCCCACAGAGTAGTGAGGAGCACACAACACTTTCCTAATCCTGATTGGAGGAAACAGTCATGTTGGAATCATTCTCACAAACATCAAAGTGAGCATGTGTCTAGCAGTGCTGCTAACCAACATATGCACACTTGCCCATGCCAATCGCACAGATAGCTGTCATAAATTGGCAGCACACAAGCACCAACATGACTTGTTTGAATGTATTTACAGCTCACTGATCCACCGCAAACCCACAGAGGTTTGTTTCTGGCATCCCAACCCAACCACTTATTCAGTATGAGAAATGGGTTTTGGTGACCTTTACAAAAGTTTCCCATCTCGTTAAATGTGTGTCTCCTGCATGCTATTTTTATGTGTGATGTATGCTCTTCCTGATGCGAACTGCTGCTTCATAGCATCTCCCCTTGAACAAACTTGTTCTAAATGTCTCTAAACCTACTAGTAAAACAAATTAGGCTAGAGACTTTAATGCACCTTGGCATGTGTGCATTAACCACACGGAAGACACGGCATATTCCCCCCCCCCCCGTATTTTTTAAGGGACAAGCAGGAGACAGGACTTCTGGAATTTCTGTAGGAGGAAACTGATATGTTCAATACTGGATGAGGCTCTGCAGGTCAAGAGACTAAGGGCTGTTAACAAGAAGGCTGGTTGAACTAAAACTCTGCATATGCCTCAAGACTGTGTGTCTGTTTGGGATGCTGCTCTGAGCAGAGCATGGCATTTGTGCCAGTAAACAAAGGATGCTGAAGCCATGGATACGTTAAGCCAGGGGTAGGCAACCTAAGGCCTGGGGGCCGGATGCAGCCCATTCGCCTTCTTAATCCGGCCCACGGATGGTCTGGGAATCAGCATGTTTTTACATAAGTAGAATGTGTCCTTTTATTAAAAATGCATCTCTGGGTTATTTGTGGGGCATAGGAATTTGTTCATATTTTTTTTCAAAATATAGTCCAGCCCACCACATGGACTGAGGGATGGTGGACCGACCCACAGCTGAAAAAGGTTGCTGACCCCTGAGTTAAGATGAAGCCTAGTATCAGTTATTTAGAGGAAGCCCATGAGAGGTCCTCCCCAGAATGGCTGCTATAGTGAGAAATTCTCCCGCAGTAACCAACATGCTTTATTAACCATGTATGCACATGCCTAATTAATCCCCCAGAATCAATGCCATATCTAATGCAGGTAGCACTTCTAATTTGGCCATTAATTATCCCTTGTGGGTATTGGATTTCCTCCAGCCGGCATATTATGCCTTATTAAATTAAGCACCCTTGTTTGCATTTCCTCTGAAGTACATGCTCAATTCCTGCAAGGGACACAGCAAATCATCTTATAACGTGCTGTGATTGGTTAAGAGGCCCAGGTGTGACTCCCTTGCCACCCTCTGGCAGGAGAATCATATTCTGAGGTGTCCTTTGTTGTGCAATTTTCTCCTATCCAATCCGGTCCTTAGCAAGATTACCTTCAACGTCAATGCTCATGCGTATCAGGAAGCGCTTTCCCTAAACCTGGAAATCTCTCAGTCCCCAGTTCAGTTCAGTCTTCCTCACTCACACTGTCCAATAGTTTAAGTTTCTCATAACCCTCCTGGAGGGGTGTTTCATTCTACTGTTCTTCAAGACGTGCTGAGCTCACAGATTGCTACAGGAGTTGGGCTTCTTTAGGAATTGCAGTCCCAGTCACAATGCCTCCCCTCCCTGGCCTAATACTATGGCCTTTTAAAACCTCACTGGTAGGCCAGTCAGGGCAACAGCTAATGCCCAGCCTGCCAGCAAGGCATTTCCTTCCAATCAGGGCCTCCGATTCAGTGGCGTAGCAAAAGGGGGCAGAGGGGTTGTTCCCCCAAGCACAAAATTGGGGGGGGGACACGCAAAATTCAACAATTCAAAAGAAAAACAAACTGCTTTGAGGGTTTTTAAAAAAGCAATCAAACGGTCTAAAAATTTCATGAAATAGATAATAATAATCAAATGCTTTCTCCTCAGCTTCCCTGACAGGAACCACTTCCTCTCTGTCCCTCTACACCACATTTGTTTTTTTTTCTTTGGGGATAGTCAGGACCCAGACTGGCATCAGGTGCGGCTGAAGTCTGAACCTCACCAGCTCAAGAGTGGAAGCATCTTAGAATGACATGGTTGCACCTCTGCCAGAGGTGCCATGAAGAAAGATATTTTAGGCATTTTCCTGCCCCTTCCTTCCATGTTTCAGATTCTACTTTACTATTCATCAAGGGCATCTATCTCTTTGGCCAGCTGATATTAGTTGTTCTACGCCGAACAACTATAACCACTAGTGGTCTTAATATATTATGTGGGCATATCAAAGACACAAAGCTGTTTGCAGAAATATTTGTGGAAGTGTGAGTGACCATGCTATAGCTATTTGACAGTATGTATAAAAAGAAATCAGAAGCAATCTTAAAATGCACTCCTAGTGCTGGTAGAAGAATGCTTTTTGCAATTCAGTATGACATATATCCAAAGGAGGCTCTGGAACCTTGCTGTGAGTTTGGGCTTGACTTCTGCCACAATAATCTGAAATGGTCCCTTGTTTTATGAAACCACAACAATAACATTTCAGCCTCTAATATATCACTGTGTGCCTCATCTCTGAAGCAACTTATAGATACAGCTGCTATGCTTTTGATTTCTGGCTGAACAGACCACCAGCTTCTCTCTCAAAGGGTCCTTTTCCATTCCATCATCTCTCAACGTTCTCTTGGTGCTATGGAATTTCTCATAACAGCACTCATCATTGAGCAAATACCTAATGCTGACATAATGGTGTCAGAGTGGCGAGGCAATGGTACATCGCTTGGTTGTATCCTGAAGGTATTTTCAGCAGTGCCTCAGGCTTACCATATGCAGTGCCAGAATGTCAAAATAGATACAAAAGGGTTTCACTGGGGCAGGGAGGGGGCTGAATCCTACATGCTGCACAACATAACATAAAAGCAGTTTGGGGGTTAATATCTGCCACAATTGCATTTTACACCTATTCTCACAATTAATGCTACAAGCACCCTATAATTTTGACAAGTGATTGTTAGCACAATTGAAGGATCATCATCAAGGGTCAGGCCAACAAAAATCAAAGAGGCACAGAAGGTCAGGAGTAGAGAAATGAACTCTAATAATAATAATAATAATAATAATAATAATAATAATAATAATAATTTATAGGCCACCTATCTGGCTGGGTTTCCCCAGCCACGGCTGCAGGAGCACCTGAAGTTGGTAAGTGGCTTTGGAAAGGTAATTTTGGACACACACACCCCTTCTATAATTCAGGTGTGGTGGTGGCTGTTAATACTATTTAATATTATTAATATTATTTCTGAATTTGCTTATTCACATGTTATGTAACAACAACTACATACTGTTTCCACTCTTCAAAAGAATAATTGCAATAACAATTGTAATTGTAATAATCAGTGCGATTTTTCTAGGGGAGAAAGTGCTGGAACTTCTTCCCTTGTTCTCTTAGAATGACAATGGCACCTACCTGAGAGGCGCCGGAACTGAGTTCTGGTGAGTTCTGGTTGGGGAAAAACACTGTGGTAATAGCAATAATAACTTGAAACATTATGCTGTTGAATCATCACAACGTAGCTCACACAGTGGGCAAGAAAACAACAAAAGTAGCTTGAACTTGAGACTGCCACTCATCTTGCCCTGCTCTCCCTCTAGCAGATCACCCCTTGCTTAAATATAGGGTTGTTCAAGTGCTGTCATCACTAAGTGAAGTGGCCATAACACTAAGAGGGAACAGGAAAGGCAGGCTAAACGAGAATAGGAAGATAATTAAGCCTAAAGGGATTCTTGCTTTGTTATGTCTTCAAACTTCAGCCTCCCCTTGGAGAATATAATATTGTACATCAGCAAAGAGAAAGAGAGGGAGGGAGAGGGAGGGAGGGAAAGAGAGGCTGAGGGAAAAAACAAACCCCATCACCGTTGCTGTTGGTGTTTTATTTGCAGAATCTCCCAGCTTGCATGCATTCTATTGACTTGGTTAAAATTTTATAAAACCTCTGTGCTGAAAATTTCCCTAGCAGCCCTACTTTCAACACATATTAAAGTTGGTTGGCCTGCTTCTTAAAAAACTGCCACTAAAATTTCACGCCACAACCAATTCCCTGCATAAGGGCTGTTTGCAGGCACAGCAACCCAGGAATGCCAAGATAACTGTCATTTGCAATTCAAGCTTACAGAGGGCTGACAGAATTCCCCAACTGTTCATTATGTCACTGTGAGGACAAGCAAGCAGAATCAGGAGGACCGTGAGGGACATCTCGATCCCCAAAGGGGAATCTATATACTGATTCAAGCTAGCACCCAATGTTCTGTCCCATTCCAGTGAAATCCCAAGAACTGGAGCTTAGCACAAGGATATACAAATCAAAAGGCCTTAGCTTTGTGATGCAGCATCTGCTTTACAATATATACAGAAGGTCTCAGGTTCAAGGTGTGGCATCACCCCTTTCTGAAACCCTAGAAAACCACTTCTGGGACTCAGCTAGGTTGGTAAAGAAAAATCGTTTTATATGTGTTGTATATGCATTACAATACTGTGACACCAGATGGCGCTATGGAGTTTCATTTTTGCCAACGCAATTTCCCATACAGTGGAACCTTGGTTCTCAAAATTAATCTGTTCCGGAAGTCCATCTGACTCCCAAAACCGTTTGAAAACCAAGGTGCGGATTCCGATCAGACATTCGGCTTCCAAAAAACGTTCAAAAACCTTAACACTTACTTCTGGGTTTTTGGCGTTCAGGAGTCGCTTTGTTTGTCAGCTAAGCCGTTCGAGAACCAAGCTTCCACTGTATAATGTTTACAATGTGCTTTCCAAAAACGCTTCTTTGATGTGTCTAGATCCAGCTCTGGTCAGTGAAGATGATACTAGCTAGACAGTCCAATAATCCAACTCTGTAGAAGGCAGCTTCCTACATTTCTAAAGAGTTGGACTTTCAGCTCTCCAATTTCAGCAGCGCCTTGTGCAACACTTAAATTTGGCACCCCAAATTTGATCCTGCTGCATCCTCCCTTCCCCCCAAAAAGGACACTAACATCACTTTCACTTTTCTCCTCCATCATGTCGGGTCTCTTCCTCGAGATTTCTTGTCGTCATAGAGCTATTTACAATGCAACTACAGAAGAAGGCTGGCTTTCCGAAAGGTACGTCAGCCTTATGGAAAGTATGTGAATCCACCAGGCTTTAATGTTTGCAGCTTTGATATGATCTTTGATGATGAGCAATGTTCACAGAGAATCTATATGAAGATTAAATATTAGTGCTGAGTCGTGCTTTCTGTGACCAGATATTATGAAACATAGAAATTCCAGGTAACTCACACCTCGCCTTCTATTTGTGTGTGTGCGCGTGCATACGCTCAAGCACACGCAACCCTCTCAAGTCCACTCATACACATAATCTATTTGATCTCCCTTCCTTTATCCCTGCCTAGATTTTTTTTCTGCCTTTAAAAGAACACATCACCAAGCTATGAGGACTCTTGCATTTCCCCCCTCATGCTTCTAAATTCATTTTGTGTAGCTGCTGGGCAAACTTTCTGTGGTTAATTACTGATTGTTCTCTTTGTTGTATTATTGATACCCTCAACCCTGCAACGCTGTAATTCCATTATTTCTAAATTAGACCTTTGTGGGTCATTGGTGAATGAGCTTAACTGAACATTTCAGACCAAAGATCAGAAATTAAATTATGGAACTCACTTTCTAATTCAAGCCATAAAATCTCAGAAGGGAGGGGAGATGTTGTTGTTTTTAACCTCACTAGGTAGCCTGCATCAAGTAATTTGTTGGGGGAGAATGATTCAAAATTAACTGTTCTTAACATACTGTAGTCATCTTGAAATTGTCCTGGGGCTCTTCAATTATTATGTATCTCCCCTGGATGTGGCAGCAACTGCTTCCCCCTCATATTTCCCATAATTATGTTAACCTCAGTGAACATTGATTCAGACAATGCTTTCGTATGTTTGGCACTTGAAGCTAACAATTAGCTTCCCACCGGATTTTTAAATATCCATTGCTAGTTAAGGCAGACACATTCAGGCTTCGGTCCTATGGTGCCGGGGTGATGGAGCAGCCCAGAGGCCACAGGGTGTTTCAGATCAAACTTCAGAAGTGCCCCCTCCCACTCCCAAAACCTCCTCAAGCCATTGCTTTACCAACATCAGAGCAGAAAGGGAGCAAGCTGGGTTGGATTGGAAAAGCAGTATGAATCTGAAAGATGCATCGCCTTCCAATTATCTTGACGTACACTAGTATCAACCTGGAGCTGAAATTATATCTATCTATCTCAAAAGCCCAGGGGGAAAAGCAAAATATCCACTCCACCCTCCTTTTTTCTTTGCTGGTGTGTGCCAAGGAGAACCTAGGAAAATGTAGCTCATCTGCATCCAGTCCTCCCTCTTCTTTCAATATTAAAAACAGTGTAAAATCACTTACAATCACAGAAATAAGGTGGGTCCTAAAAATAGGGACTGCCATAGAGAATTCCCTGTGCTAGGTCACCATGCCCCAGGCTTCTGGGGATGGAGGAGCCAGCGAGAAGCCTCCCTCTGCCAATCTTGGCACTCAAGAAGGTTGGCAGGGAATGAGGTGATCATTTGGGTATTGAGGGCCTGAGTTATTTAGGGTTTTAAAAGCCAATGTGAGCATCTTGAAATGGGCCCAGAAACTGACAACTAGAGTAGCCGTTTTAAAACAGGAGTTATACGAGATCTAAATGGACACCCAGCCCGTAAGCAATCTGGCTGATGAACTTTGGACCAATTGAAGTTTCTGAGTCTTTTTCAAAACTAAAATGCTGATAACATTCAAGAGAACCTGGTTAAACTGGAGTTCTGACAATTCCTTAAAGAAACTCGTCTATGACTGCTCTCTCTGTTCAATATCCCCCCCCACCGCCCAATTTCCTTAAAGCAGGGTGAATACAAACAATCATTTACCAAACTGTAAATTATCTCAGTATGTGTTTGGCTATCACTTGGTAAGCTAGCCATTGATATTATTCCACCAGCTAGTCAGAAAGATTCAATTTTACTACAATTCTGCCCTGTATATTTGGGGAAGCAAAGGACTGTAAAATTCTCCTCAAGCCAGCTGGAAGTGAGCTCTCTCACCCTGGGGTAACCAGGGGTACTGTCAGCCAATGACTGAGATCCCCAAACATCAGGTGCATGTTGTGGGGAAATGGTAGTCTATCAAATAGTCACCTCAGTGACCAACTTTCTGAGTGTCTATAGACCTGCCATGGGAATTTACCACTTGCTGGGTCCTGTAAAGGGCAGATACCATTGCCAAGGCCAGGAGATTTGTTTTCTAATGTACCTTTCAGACCTAATTCTGAGATGGAGGACTGTGAGCTGGAACAAGTTCGGAATGGGTTATGTCTATTCATAGCTGCCCACCCCAACTCAGCTCTTCATCATCGTATGTCAACTGCGATGTATTAGTGAGAAACAAATTTCCTCATTCTGCAAAGCACGTTGTGTTTTCTTACCTTTTCCTTTTAAGTGTTTAAATAAATTTTAATACAGTCTATGCAAAAATAAATATACACAGCATCGAGTTTATGGCTTCTCTTAGCTGAACATTTCCATTGTGCCCAAGTTTGGCATTATAAGGGCACACAAAGTACTATTTCTACAAAAGGGCTCAATTCATGTGAGCAAGTGGAATCACTATGCTGGCATTAGGGATGGGGAAGAAATTCAGGTCAATTTGCATTTAAAGGCAAACTGAAATCTTCACTTTTTGAACCAATAGGTGAATTGAAACAGGTGAATTCGCACATCTCTGAATTTTGCAATGCAGTTCTCCAGCCAAGTAATGTGTACAAAAAGGCATATACTGGAGGGGGAATGTGAGTGTGTGTATGTATTCATGAAAATAACATAGGGAAATGCATTATATTTGGGAAAATTGCTTTGCAAAATTGTGTTTATTAGGCAAAATTGCATATAAACATGTGCATAGTAGGACAAGCTTACTCTAAAATGATGGTGAATCTTCATGAGGACTTTAAAAATATTTTTAATTATCATGACTACTACTATTATTATTGCAAACTGATGTGGAAATGTGGAGAAATGGACAAGAATGGGAAAATGAGGAACTGAAAGAGATTCCGCTATCCCTAGCTTGCATACTTGAGAACATAAGAAGAGTCTGCTGGCTCAGGCCAATGGCCCAATTCTGTTCTCACAGAGGCCACCCAGATGCCTGTGGGAAACCCACAAGCAGGATTCGTGCAATAGATCATTCTCCCCTCCTGCAGCTTCCAGCAACTGGTATTCAGAAGCATCATGCCTCCAGCCATGCAAGCAGAGCATAGCAATCATAGCTGGTAGCCACAGATAGTCTTACCTTCCACAAATTGCCTCAGTCCTCTTTTAAAGCCATCCATATTGGTGGTCATCACAGCCCTCCTGTGGGAATGAGTTCCGTAGTTGAACTACATATTGCAGGAAGAAATTATTTTGTTTGATCTGGCAATAAGCACAATCATCCTCTCCCTGAGATAGAAATGGGGGAACATACAGTATCTGAGCCCTGCAATGGAATTCTGACTCCAGAGGAAATTATTTGCAGAACTCCCACTGTTTAAAACAGGTTGAATTTCACTTCCTTCAAGGAAGGCCTCGGGTCATTCAAAGCATCAAAAGCTATGCAGGGGGGGAACAAATTACCAGCCACTATGAAAAGGCCTTCCACGTCTGCTATCACACAGTTGTGATAGGCTCAAACAAGATTCTCATTCTCTCCCATGCGACAACTGCTTTCATTGAAATAGAGTTGGGCCGGGCTACCAAAACAAAGCCATTGGGCTGGGTTAAAAAAAAAAATATCCAGCTTTGTATCATCTTACAAAAATAGCAAGGATTAAAATCTTGCTCCAGCTCTGGAGGATTTGGGAAATGGTGGGGGTTTTTTGCTCCATGCCGCTTGGCTTTTGTTACCTCCAGATTGGATTATGGAAATTCTTTGTTTGCAGCTTTGCCAGCAATGTGTTTACAGATATTGCAAGAGCTCCAAAAATGCAGCAGCAAGGAATTAATTCTCCCACCTGTGTGAATGGGTCCCTTTAACCTCGTCACTAATCGCTGCATTGTCACCCAGCTGTAAGTCTGCACAGATTGGAACACTCATTTGGATGTCTGGCATGGAAGGCCAAAGGTAGCAGTGCTCAGAAGATTTCTGTTCAGGCTTATAATCTTTATAATTGTATGAGAACAGGGTTTTTCATATACATCCCAATGTGTTCTTTGTGATCCTCTCTCTCAAGAGCCTTTTAGGTAATTTAGCCTTTTATAGACGTTATGTGTTGGGGCAAATTTTGGCATGTTTACTGGAAAATTCCTCACTTTGTAGTGAAGAGATAATTTACACAGAATAAATAGATCTTTATTTCTGAGTCTCCTAACTCAGAAGGAGTTCGCTTAACTCCCTCAATTTCAATCTTGATTTACACAAACTGACACGAGTAGTTGTGGAGGCACAGTTAATACAGAGGGAAGAAATAGTTATTTTACCAAAAGTGCTGCAGTTATTGTCGTTAATCCTCAAAACAGCCCTATAAAATGGGCTTGTGCTGTTACACATGCATTGCAGATGGGAGTGAAACCAAAAGAGATATAGACCAGCTCAGCCAAGAGCTTAGCGAAAAACCCCAAACAAATTGCAACGAAAGCAGACCTTACACTAAATGCTTGGGTTGATGTGCTCTATCAAATATAAGAAGGTTTGCAAAGTTGCCTCCCGGGAAATTCCCCCATCCTTTTTTAAGTTTCCCCTTTTGCTATTTGACTGGCTTCTCTATAAAAACTCAACACCTCTTGATATCTTTAAGATAGAATAATGACTCAAAACTCATTTGAAACAAGATTGAGATTGATACAAAATACTGCGGCAGGGTTTTAATGTAGCACTAAAAAGATCACTCCATCAAGCATTTCAGGTTGCCAGATGGAACAATCTCCCTTCCCCCTCATCCTGTGCTTTCTTTTGGGGTTCCTCCAACCTCCTTCCAAGCCAATTTGGGGGCTCACAGGAGGATGGGGGAAAGCTCTGCTGGACTAGCAGAAGACCTTGTATTGGCTTCCACTACAGACCTTGTATTGGCTTCCATTAGCTGAATCTGGCCTTTTGAATGCACCAACCATTCAAGATTCACTGAACATTATGGGACAGTGGGGTAGGAGCTGTTGGGAGAAGGAAGCATGGGTGAAAAATGCCCCCTTTTCTCTTCCAAAGGCTGTTCCACAAACAGGAGGACTCCTTCCATTCATGTAAGTACCACATTTAATAATGGCTATAAAGGTGTGAAACAAACTATTCTAATATCGCAATTAACTACAAAAAATATAGCAAAGGTTTGATTATTCCTGCTGTGGTGTAAAACACCAATTACCTTTACATTAAAAAATTGTTGCAAATACAGATATCTATTCCTGCGGAAGAAGAAAACAAAAGTCACCATAACCCAGCCCAAGTTAAGCTGGTTGGAATCCTATTGATTTGAGTGGGAGAGTTAAACAAGTTCTATACAATCCTTCTCAAAAGTAAGTCCTGTTTGGTGGCGAGAGAGGTTGGGGGTGGCTTAGGGTGTGGCTGGTTGTCTTTAGTTGATTGTAGTGAGAATTGTTTTTGTGTGAGAGTGGGGTGTGAGTGTGTATTTTTGAATCAGATGTGAATGGTAAGAGAACCCATTCAAATAATGCTGACACAACACCCCCAGACACTAAGCAGAAGCATAACCACCCCACCCCACCCCGCTCGCCATTCCCCCTCCCCCTCTCCCCCCTTTTTTCCCCTTCTTCTTCCTAATTGTGTAAACCAATTCATGAACCAGGAACTTATACACTGACCACTAATAATGAAACATGTGTTGTAGATATTTTTCCACATTTATTATGCTATTTTTGTGATATACAAACGACATGAGAAAACTTGGCATACTTATTTGTATAATATTATTCTTGTTTATAAAACCCAATAAAACAAACAAACAACAATAACAACGGACTGTGATTAATATTGGAATACAACTGGAATAAATAAGACTTTAGAAGTGGGGGGGGGGGGGAGAGAATTGCTGAACCTGTAATCCAGCAAGCGGGAGGTCATCCAAATTATAAAATTGGATATTTGATTAATTGCTATTAGATTTGGTATTATGATTTGATATGCATATAATGAGGTTTGTTTTGGATTTTTGTAATTGAAAACTAATAAAAATTATTATGTATAAAAAGTAAGTCCTGCTGATGTCAATGAGATTTACTCCTAAATAAGGGTGCATAGGATTTCAACCCAAACTTGTCTCATAGGGAATCTCGGAACTCTTCCATTTACCAGGCTTGTGCCCATATTTGTTTTAGATGATTATTTAGATGTACTGAACTTCCCTCCCAAACTAAATCTGTATTCATCTGCTTTATAAATTACTTCCATTTTGACCGAAGGATTTGATACAGTTCCTATCATTCGTATTTGTTTCTAGTGCCACATTTGTCTTCTTCAACATCAGGACCATTACTTCTCCCTGAACATTTTATCCTCACAAGTCCGTTCACCTTTTATCTGGGGTTCAGTGTTGCAGGCAGTCAGCCCAAGCCTCAACAATTTTCCGGCGTAGGACCCTGGCAGAGACACATGCTCGACTGGCATGTTCTCTCCCTCCTGGTCGATCGTTTGGGAGCTTCAAAAGCTTTCTTCAGCCCGAACATCCCAGCGACCAATGCCAAGAGGCATCGGCACACTTAGGGATCCACAGAGTCTTCGCAGCTTCCGTAACAGACCTCAGCAACCCAGCATTTTGGCTAATCTACTTTATTTACATATAAACACACATGGAGCACTGCAACATGACTTCCTCTCTCTCTAGCATCAGACAGCAAAGAGAAAAAGAACAAAGGACAATAGTCCCACAGTAACACAAACATCCTGTCTTTCTCACTTCCTACTCTGTGAAGTCAAAACATATACCGTCATGTGATAGACAACAATCCCATGACTGCAACCACAGAGCAGGAATTCTAACACTGCCTTCCCCCTGCATCACAGCTACCATGTCATCTGTGCTGGGGACAGCCCCAGCCAATCTGCTGTCAGGGAGGGTGTGGCCATGGGCCATTTAATTTTGGTGCAGCCAGCCGGTTCACTCTTCTTTGGGTAAGCCTTTGGTTGGTTGGAGGGGAGGTTGTTACCTCGCCTGCCCCTCCTCAGTAAGGGTGTCCTGTTAAAGGAATCTGGGGTGTGAATACTGTCCGAAGCCTGGGTGTGGGCTACGGCCATGTCACAGACCCTACGGGGACCCCATGGGGTGCTGCTATCTGATGCCGCTATTGGTGGTTTACCCTCCCACGGACTCCCTGAAGACGGGCAGGAGTCAATATATAGCCTGGCCCAATGCCTAAGCCAAACTATTCACATCTGTAACTAACAAAGTTGTGGCTTATTTGAACCCATAAACCAAATATTCCATGTCAGTGTGATTTATTGTTCTCCTGGGAACTTTGGGGCTCGGGTGCCTTTGCATGCAACAACCCTGTGAAGTAAATAAAACTATGTGTTGGTGACTGGCCCAGCGTCAGCCAGAGAGCTTCATGGCTGAGTGAGGGTTTGAGCCTCCTGGATTCTAGTTCACCACACTGGTTTCAGGTTAGGATTGGAGCATGGGGCATATCACAGTGATCTTCATTGTTTTCAGACTGGCAGGAAGTAATAGTCACCCTCAAATTCTGCCCATTCAAGCCAGGGAATGAATGCTTAGTTTATTCAGGGCCTTTTTAAAGTGATGCATATTGAGAGCTAAGTGCAAAGTAAGAAAAAACAAATTATTTTAGCAGGGGGGAACTCTATTAAGAGGCTAGCCTTTGGTGCAGTGTAATATCCAGTAAAAGGCTTCCAGGATCATATAACTTTATGTATGCATAGCTAGGGATAAGAAGGGATAAGTACTTACAGCTCCAAAGATCTCTTAAAAGCAAATGAGAAGACCCATGTAGCAATTAGCAAGGAAGGTAAATTGCTCCAAACAGGGCTGATTGAACTTCTGCAAATATCCAAAATTGTGTTGTTGTTTTTAGGGGCAGGCCTTTAAAGTTCTTGGCATATCAGAGAATACCCCCCCCCCATTCCAATAAAACACACACTCATTCTCCCTAGGCTTTATTAGGATTATTAATTTTGCCCAGAGCTCACAAAAATTTAACTGCCTCAGTGAGCGAGTAATCCATTCCTCATAAGCATTATTGATCCTGCAAAAATTTTTTAAAAAATGTATTAACGATCTTTTCTTTGCACAATATGTGTGGAGTAGAAGCCCTATCCAAGAATTCCAGTAGTGCAGAAATAACCAAAGCCAATTAGCAGGCATCTGAAAATGGCCCTATGG